GGAGTGAGGAGGAATGAGGAGGAGTGAGGAGGAGTGAGGAGGATTGAGGAGGAGTGAGGAGTAAGGAGGAGTGAGGAGGAGTGAAGAGGAGTGAGGAGGGGTAATGACGTCACGCGGACAAGTTTAGGCATGTAATGACGTCATGCGAGCATGTTCGGTCAAAACTTACTGACTAGGTATATTTGAGCGTCCTTCCACGTGTGTGATAGAATAGAGGGATTACGATTGGCTTACTATGAATAGCTCGAGCCAATCACATTGTAAAATTGTTATCGAAATTAATAAATAGCAGAGTTATAGCCGTATTTTTGCTCGGAAGAGATAAATTTCCACAGGTATATTGAAGGATTTTTCGTATGTTACATAGAGAGGAATTCATTCGTCACAAAATTCGAGACATATTTTAAACAGAACTAAACAGTTACTAATCCCAGGTTAACATGGTTGTCAATATTTGCGTGTTGTTCAACTTTATTTAGCAAACCTGCTACATACATGTATACTGTTCAGATGACCGAGTCCAATCATCAGTCAGATTATCAAGAATAGAATATAGAACATAGAATCAGAACAGTTGTAATATATTTTGCCATATATAAAATATAAATATGTTTTTATCAAATATACGGTTGTTATATACGTTGCTATGTGTTGCCAGTCATCAGCGACGCTTGGGTGCATGCATATATTAACGTACAACATATTTGTATACTAATCAGGCGGGCGGGTCGCACGGGCGGAAAGAACAGGCTTTGCAGGCAAAACTAATATCTTCTACAAATACATACATTAATATCTTCAAAATGTTTTACAAAATTTAGTACGGTCTACTTCTAAGACCGTAATGTCTATGTGTTTTTGTTATTTTTAAAGACTTTTCATATTCTTGTCAATCTTCTGGGAATAACTTTGCTACTTGCTCGGGTTTCATAGGAATATATTTTGGTCTGTCGCAATAAACATGTTTTAAACTTTGCAAATGTTGTGTCGTTATGCGCTGCTAAGTCATTAGGCGATGAGGAGATGATTAAAGGATTATGCAAACAAAAATTTTCATAACTATGTGTATCCCAATCGATAGATGGGGATTATATATTCGTATCCCTTAAAATCAGGTGCGAGCTTTGCGGGTATAAATATTGGGCACAAATTCAGTTTGCAACGTAATTGTAAAGTAGCTAATTGTAACGTACATAAATTCGAAATAGAGACTTTGTTAGAATGTTCTACATAATGGAATAATAATCCTCTCGCTATATTTATATGTTCAACACAATTTAGGCTCGGAGCCGAGCTGGAATGGTTCGGAATCCTTATCTTTATCTTTTTAACTTCCTTATCCTTATCTTTATCATTTTATCTTCCTTTTCCTTATCTTCCTTATCTTTATCTTCTTATCTTCCTTATCCTTATACTTATCTTTATCTTCTTATTTTCCTTATCTTTATCTTCTTTATCCTTATCTTTATCTTCCTTATCTCTATCTTTTTATCTTCCTTATCTTTATCTTTTTATCTTTCTTATCCTTATCTTCTTATCTTCCTTATCCTTAGCTTCTTATCTTACTTATCCTTATCCTTATCTTTATCTTCTTATCTTCCTTATCCTTATTAGCATTTCCTTATATTCTGTTCTCAATTGTCTTTTCCTTTATTCAGTTGTTGCCCTATGTTGTGTGTTTATGTACGAAATTGTCGACGGGGTCATTTGACCAATTCGCCTGGCAGTGTTTTCCACCATTAAGCAAGCCACAAAGGCAACGGTATTTTGAAAACAAAGTACTTTTGTGTTTATATTTTAATATAAGGAACTGTTTGTTTTGATGTTAGGTACTTGTAATATGAGAACGTTATGTACCGCTTGTGTTAAGGAACTTCGGTCATTTTGTTCCTACAGTTAAGGAACATTTGAATGAGAACAATCTGTTCACTTTATATAAAGGAACTTCAGTCAGTTGTTCCTTTATATTAAGGAACGGTTGGATGAGAACAATCTGTTCACTTTACGTATAGCAACTTCAGTCAGTTGTTCCTTTATATTAAGGAACGGTTGAATGAGAACAAACTGTTCACTTTACTTATAGGAACTTTAGTCACTTGTTCCTTTATATTAAGGAACGATTGAATGAGAACAATCCGTTCACTTTACGTATGGGAACTTCAGTCACTTGTTCCTTTATAATGAAGGAACGGTTGAATGAGAACGACGAGTTAATTTACTTTATATAAACGAACGAATAGTCCGCTTGATATTGTTCAACAATGTCGTTCGATCTGTTTCATGTCATCACACAATTGAATGAGAATCATCGGTTCCCTTAATTTTTAGGATCTGCTTTGGAATAGGATCGGTTTGTTCCGTAAATATCGGATCGCCTCGGAGACCGAATCATTGTAATGAAAAAAGGGAAATCCCCCTTTCACAATTATATGTTGCGACATCAGCAACAATCGTTCCGATCAACTTCGTATAGCTTAATTCACACAACTTCGTATAGCTTAATTAGTTAATAATTTAAATAATATTTATTCGCGCTACATCAATTTGTCTAACATTCAGAGCTAAACGCGGCTATAGGGTTTTCATAAATGCACAAGATAATATCCT